ATTACCAGGCACTGTGCTGAGCTATAACATGAATTATCTTTCTTAATCCTTTCAACAAACCCTAAGAGAGTGGTGCAGTTCTATACCTGCCATGCAGATGGAGAAATTACAACTACCCATGGTCACACAACGGCAAACTAAGGTTTTGGGATTTGATGTCAGGCACTTGCCCCTAAGATGTGGGTTGTAACCTCTCCTCTATGGTGTTTTACTACTACCTCATACCTGGCTTTCTGGGATGCCTTCTCACCCTGGTTGACAGCCATATTTTACATGTTGTTAAGAGGATGGGGACCCAATAAAGTGAGAGGAATCTGAGTGAGAAAAGACAAGCCTTTGGTTGTGGCTTTATACTAGTACTACAGGCCCAGGGCATGAAATTTGTGCATGGGAGGAGGGATTCCCTCAGCCCAGACTGCACTCTCTCCAATCCAGGACCCCTTAGGGGATGTCGACTGCCTGGCATGTATGGAACTGGCAGTCGGACATCTCTCACAATCTGGGATGACTGGCTCCTAGCTGCTTACCTGCCTGCTTGCTGGATTGCCCCTAACTGCCCCCACCCCACCCCCCGCCAGCCTAATCACCCCTAGCCGCCTCTGCCTGCCAGCCTGATTGCCCCTAATTGCCCCCTCTGCCAGCCTGGTCATCCCCAACTGCCCCCCTGCTGGCCAGATTGCCCTCAACTGCCCCCACCCTCCTGCCAGCCTAGTCACCTCATGCAGCCTGCTGTTCAGTCATTACTGTGATAGAGTCCTGGACAATTTGCATATTTCTCTATTATTAGTATAGATGTGGCAGTACTGGCATGCTGGCAGGGAAAGGATCAGAGGAATGCGATGATTGCCTTTAACTAAACTCTCAGAGAACTTAAAATCAGAAGTTTTCTTAGGGACCAACTGTCTAACCCCTTCATTTTATGGAGAGGAAATAGAGTCCTAGGCAGTTGCCCATGATCACAGAGCTGGTGTGGGACTGAAAACTAACTCTCTAACTCTCTAATTCTCTCTCTCTCTCTCTCTCTCTCTCTCTCTCTCTCTCTCTCTCATTATTTTTGATCAAGCACAAAAGGATATACAGCGAAAAATTTCCCCTTAGACACCGTTTCCCCATCCCAGCCATCTCATGCCCTGCCCAAATACAATTATTTGTAGAAAGATGCAACCTATTGCATCTTTCTAGAGATATTCTATGCATGTCAAAAATAGGCTTCATTTTTACACAAAAATTATAGTGTTCTACATACTGACAGAATCTTACTTTTTTAACTTAATTATTCAGGTTAGAGATTGTGTCATTATCAGAACATACAGAGCTGCCTCATTCTTTTTATTTTCAACTTTTTTAACAGCTCTATTGAGGTCAATTTATATAATATAAAATTCGCACATTTTTAAGCATCAGTGTTTTTGAAAATTTATACAGTTGTGACTTCATTAACAAAATACAATTTTGAAATAATTTTAACACCTCCAAAAAGTTCCCTTTTGCTCATTTTCGGCCAATCCCAATTCCACTTGAGCCCCAGGCAACCACTAATCTTTCTCCATAATTTTGTGCTGTTCATAATTACATATAGATGAAATCATCCAATATTTATTGTATATCTGGCTCCTTAAATAACATTGTGTCTGCTTAGCATGATGTTTTTAAGATTTATCCACAACTTGCATATAACAATTTTTATTGCTGAGTAGTAGTCTGTTATATATATATATCACCCTTTGTTTACCCGCTCACCAACTGTATGCTAACAAATGTTTCATTGAGTAGGTAAAAAATGGCATCTCATCATTTTAATTTGCATTTTCTTATGAAGTAAGATGAGTGTCTTTATTGTTTACACATTTAAAAGTTAACTATATTTAATTTTATGTGAAATGTGTGCTTCATGTCATTCTCCTATGTTCTGTTCATAATAATTTCTTAGTGATACATATTACAAATGCTTCCCCTAGTTTTTTGTTTGTCTTTTGACCTTGTTTATTGAGTTTAGGCCCCATAGATTTTATTTTAATGTAACAAAATATATAATAATTGCTAAGCCTGGCTAAAACTAGAAAGAATTCCCCCTACTCAGAGATTTTAAAAAATACATCTTCCTTTTTTTTCTAGTATTTTTGTTTATAACATTTGAAATCTTTCATCTGGAATTTATTTTAATTTAAGAAATAGGGATATAAGTTTATTTCCAAAAAAATAGCTTCATAGGGGACCTAACATCAATAATTATATAATAACTTTCCTCCTTGAAGTGCAATAATATTTTTATCTATATTACATTTTCATATACATTCAGGTTTATTGGTTTGCCATATTTTTATGTGTCAACAAGCACATTCAAACCTCTATTCTCTGGATCAAAGTTTAGCCTTCTTTTTTTGCAACATTCTCCAAACAACACACAGTAAGTGAGTGAAACACCTATGAATTGCTTGCAATAACACTTGAATTTTCCCTCACCTTCTACCCCACTGCCATTAGCTAACAAAATGCAAGTTCTTTTTAACATTGCTAAGAAATATATAATTACGACAGTAAATCTGTTTGGAAATAGAGGGGACTGAGAATTGGATACTACATTCTTCAGTCAAATAACAATTTGGTGCTAGCTCATGGTTTTCTTCCAATAATTTTGGATGGGCTGAGAGCGCGCATGCGTGTGTGTGTGTGTGTGTGTGTGTGTGTGTGTGTTTGTATACACATGTGTAAGGCAGATATGCCACATACAGAGGAGATAGTACTTTACTCAACCAAATCCATATTTGTCCAAGAAAAATAAATTTGGTGCTTTATGTCCTGATCCTTCTGATTGATAGGATTTGCTTATGGTTCAATGTCCTTCCCAACTGCAGGTATTAAATATGTGATGCCAACCCCCCACCCCCCGCCCCCATCCAGGAGGCTTAGAAGATGCAAACAGGAGCCAAGGTAAGCCATGGCAAAGAGTGGAAGATAGGAGCACTTAGAGGCTGTAAAGACACTCCAAATGGAATTGGCTTCTTCAAAATGATATCGTTTGGGGCTGCACCTTCATTTCTAAAAAAGGGCTCTCCACTCTTTCTCTAACATTGCCTTTCAAGCCCAGGCCCTCGCTGTAGCCAGGAGATAAGAACTCTCCATCCCTGGGGACCTTTATAGAGCCAGAGGTGGGTGGTTGTGCCAGGATCTGACTCGGGTTCAGGAGGGCTGTGGGTAATGTTGGAGCAGACGCTAGCTTACTGGCTGCAATCTTTGATGTCCCCTGATGGTCAAAACGATACTCAGAATAGTCCCTCCTTGCCCATATCTCTTAAAATATCTGGTAGGAGGCAGGATTCTCGATACACCTAGGAATTACTATGTAGAATTTTTGCGTGTCCCTTACTCTGAGAGCCCAAGTGCTGGTAGCTCAGAAACCCTGTCTTTACGGATTAAGTATAGTGCTCTTTAGCATCTTAAAAGTGTGCGGTATACACAGATTTTACGGTAATGCTGGAAGACCTCTCTATGTACACTTTTTTTTTTTAACTGAAAAAGTCTGTAGGGGCGGGGTGAGGGGAAGAAGTTCCACTAGGCTGTGTGAAAGAAAACTGCGTGAACTAGAGAAACAGCAAGAAACAAAGTGGCCTTGTGTTGTGGCGGGTGTTCCACCAGACAGCGCTGGAGACCCGAAGCTTTTCCTCTCCCTTTACTTCCCGGGGACAAAGACCAGAGGGGCTCCACGAAGGGGGAGATGCCGCCATCTCCATCCAGGCAGAGGCCCCGTGGTGTCCAGGCTGAAGCAAACCAGAGGCGGTTCCGGTCCTCTCCCTCACTGTCTTCCGGCCCTGCTTCCTCTCCCCACCCCTCCAACAATAGCCCCCTCTTGATTTCTGTTCCAAGAGAGAACGGTGAGTCCCCAGCGCAGAGGAAACTGGAAGGATTCTTCCCGCAGGCCTTTCTAACTGGGGAGAGTGAGGTGTGTGCTCTGGCATCTGCCCGCTGGCGTTGATGCTGGAGACCCAGCCCCCCTTCTTCGCCAGGACGCGAGGCAGTAGCAGGGCTTCTTGTCCCCTTTCTCCAGCAGACAAGGGAGAAGGCTGGCAGAGTCTCTCTCTTTCCTGGAAGAACTCTGAGCTACTCTCTCTTGCACTGCTGCTTCTAAATAGTTTTTTTCAAACTGCTGAGAAAGCTGGACATCTTTTTGGGGTGAGGTCCCTAAAATACTTGCCACTGCCCCTGCTGAGACTTTCTTACCCTGGGCCAGTATTTTTGTGGACCAGAGACTTGGGCTTCTCCCCAGATTTATTAGATCTGGGGAAAGGCCTGGGAACCCGCCCCAGGTGATTCTGAAGTTTGGTGCTCAGAACACACTTGAAAAAACAATATCCCAGACCTTTCCTCTCTGAGATTACGGGATCCCTCGGGATGGAGTTAACCTGCGGAGTGAGATCACAGGAATCATGCCTAATGCTGCTCAGGGCTGAAGAGACCCAAGACTTGTCCAGTAACACCACTATCGGGGAGGGAGTTATGTTGTCTCAGACAAGGTCAAAGTTAACCTTGTCACTCTTTGGAACAGGGTCCTACACTCCGAAATCAATCTGTGTACACATCAGGGCAAAACCCTAAGGTAGTGCTGCTTAGACCTGAATCACATGGAGACCATCTTAAAATGCTGATTCTGATGAGGCAGGTCTGGGACGGAACCTGAGAGTCTAACAAACCCCCAGGTGATGCTATGCTGTTGGTCCTTGGACTACTTTTGAGGAGCACTGCCTTAAGAGATACTTAATTAAAAAAAAAAAGATATATATATATATATATATATATATATATATATATATATATATATAATGTGTGTGTGTGTGTGTGTGTGTGTGTGTGTGTATTAATTACAGATGATACTTTCTTCTTAACGAGAAACTGGTAAGCAAGCAAATCAATCTGGTGACCTCAAACACATCACTCATTTGTAGTTTCTCTGTTAAACAAGCTGCCTTTCTTCATCTCTACAATAGGGGTAAGAAAGCACCTACTTCTTAGAATGGGGGGATTAAGTGAAATGATGCCTGCAGAGTTTTCGGCGGGCCCCAAACTTGACAGTGACTCCTCCATAAATGCTGTCATTGAAGGTGGTGGTGCTCTTCTGGTTATCTCATTCTCCCACTTACCATCAGCTGCCATCAGAGGATGAGGTTTAAGTGAGGCCTTCACATAGCAAAGGGAAATAGGAGAACGGGTCAGAATTGCCTGTGTGAGCCCTGGTACTTGGCACTGAAGAGACAGGCTTTATCGATGTGAACAGAGAGAGCTTCTTTTGTTTCTACCACAAATAACAGAAACCATAGACCCCCCCCAAAGTTATTATTGTCTTTATATTTATCACTTTAAATTTGCCAAATAAGAGCAGAACTGCCTCCGCCCAGGACTTGGTGGTTTGGCTGTCTCCGTGGCCTAATTACATAAAGGAAAGGGCATTGTGCTACACAAGGATGTCACACTTCCCTCCCTGCATCCACCCCCTCGTGTTTGTATAAACTCAGCCCAAGTGGCATCCCTTTAACTTGGATTTACAGCCCTGCTGAGAAAAAAAAAACAAAAAAAAAACAGGGAGCGCTGAGCATTTCCTACAAGGCTGGATCCTGGCTCACGGCTCTTTTAGCCACGGAAAAACAAATGACCATTCTGTCCCCCGAGCCAAAAATAATCTGCTCACCCATCATCTGCCCAGAAAACATGTGAAAAATAAAATGCAACCAACAGTGTCTTCTGTGTATCTGATAAGTGTTTATGTCCACGAGCAAGTGGGCGGCACCCTTCCCACGCTGACACAGGACCTACATGGAGCAGCCCATGAACAGGATGGTGGAGCAAGCCACAATTCCAGTCAGTGTAGTGGAGGGATCCATATGGCAGGCTGGCATGGCATGGTCCAGATCCTCCAAAACGTTTGACTAACGTTTTCACTTATTAACTGCTGCATTTGCCAGTATGTAAAGGTAGTATATTTTACTCCACAGACCACTTACTTATTAAATCATCTACTCAACAAATATTTATCATGCACCTACTATATCTGCATGCCATGTGTTATTCTAGGTTCTGGGCATACAGGAAAACTCATCAAGTCCCTGTCTTCATGCTTGCTTTCTCGTGAGCTTACATATTACATATAACTTTGGATGAGGATGTGTTCTTATTCTTTTATCTAAATGTCGTTGTTTTGACTATGTACATCTATACAATGGAATCCCATGCTGCCATAAAAAGAAGGAATTGTTACCATTTGCAGCAACCTGGATGGAATTGGAAGACGTTATCTAAGTGAAATAAGCAAGTCAATGAAAGAAAAATTCCACATGATTTCACTCATTTGTGGATAATAAAAAACATTATAAACTGATGAACAAAAAGATAGATACAGAGGCAGTAAAGCATCAAACAGACTGTCAAATTACAGTGGGAAGGTTAAGGAGAGGTGGGGGAGATAAGAGATCAACCGAAGGACTTGTATGCATGCATATAAGAATAACCAATGGATGGAAAACATTGGGGGGTGAGGGCATGTTGTAGGAGTGAAGTGGGGGGAGGCAATGGTAAGATATGTACACATATAATACCTTAATAAAATAAAATAAATGTTGTTTCATTTAGATGTAGCTGGTATTTGGCTAGCTGTTTCTGAAAGTGTACATCCAGATATGTGTTGCCTCTCTGTTCCTGTCAGATGAAGACCTGTGTCTGTTGGTGCTTTGCTTAATTGGCCATATAAACATAGGAGGAAAAATATCAAGTGATTTAGGTAGAAATAAAATCAGGAAAATCAAAACAATTTTTCCTATAAGTTACAGATTTTTCTTATAATTAAAGCAGACTTAACATGATATCTGAGTGTTGTTTTTTTAAAATACTATTATCAATTTGTCCTTTCAATGTAGAAACAAAGTAAAACCAAAAGAAACATATGCGATTGAGTCTACCAATATTTTTAAATAGTGAATAGAAAAATGTAGTATCTGTGTTATCCTTGATTACTGAAAGAAGGCATGCTCACTGTAAGATATAAATAATACAGAAATACATAAATCAAAAAAGGCTATTCATACAGAATCACAATATTTATAGATCTCAGTAATTATTTTATATGATTTATATATGTATAGCTAAAGAGCATTGATCAGTCTCATCAGATTGCTTGACTATCATATTCCTTACTCTATAAGATTTCTAGAATAACTATTGATATATTTAAGACTAATTTCCAGAGAGAACATCCAAAACAGAATAGTAATATCAATTAGAAGCATGGTTCTTAAAACATATACTTTTATTTATTGTCAGCGCAACCCTGAAGAAGACAACAAGACACTGACCATCCATTTGAGAGAATCACAGGATGTCAGCGTCAGAATCTCATAAATCTTCTAGTGCAGGGGGCAGGAGAGAAGAGTGTAAACAAGCCCGAAGATGAGCTCTGGTACAGTCTCAGTCTCTCTCTCTCTCTCTCTCTCTCTCTCTCTCTCTCTCTCTCTCTCCACACACACACACACACCCCACCTTAGGAATCACTGATTTGGTCCAATCTCATCATTTCATAGGTGAGAAACTGAGGTCCAGGCAAGTGAAGAAACCTGTCAAGTCTCACACACAGGAAGTGGCAGAACAGAACAGAAATGTCTGACTCCACCTGGCCTTTGTCTACTGCACTGAGCTGCAGTGGAAGACACCTTCTGCTGGAACAAAACCAGCTTCAAATTGCTCTCCGAAGGTTAAGTTGTCCACACAGTCTCTTTGCATCAGAGCCTCTAATTCTAACTAAAGAACCTCATGGTTTGGGTTACTGGTGGTCAATCTGAGTGGGTATTGCAGCTGTATGTTTTGCTTTTGTGAAGTAGAGAGGGAAATTGAACTAAGACCTAAGTTAATGAACCATTATTATTTGACAAACTAATCAGCATATATGTTTTCTGTTTAGAGTGAGAGAAAAATAGCAGCTGGATAAACCCCCCAAACACACACACACAATGGTGACACCTGCGTTCTGTTTATTGGTGTGAAGGTAAGTGGCTCAAGACTAAAATGTTTGAGGCAGGATCTCCAAGGGTGTTGAGCCCTTGGTGGGTGGGGCAACATGTTACTTCAAGTCCTTTTCTCTCTGGTTGTCATGAACTGCCACAATGGTCTCCAACAAAAGTGTTTGCAACCCTGCTCGGCCAGGTCACCAATGACACAGAGCTGGAGAGCTTGGGAAGTGGGTGAAAGGGAGAATGAAATGTCTGCAGCATGGCTGCCGCCTCTTCCAACATTCATCTGAGTTGGAAACTTTTATCCCAAGGCAAACTTTCCCCTGCACGGAGCTCTGCTGAATACAGATGGCCTTATAATGAGGCTAAATCTGGCGTTTCCGCCATTATCGAAGGAAACATCAAAACATTTGCCTCTACCTTCCTTTATTTTACAAGAATTTGGGGTCCAGGATAATAATCTGCACTCAATGTATGCCCAACTCGAAACCTATGAGGAATAATTTTTTTTCAGATAGATGCTAGGTTTAGTACTGATCAAGAAGTATGAAACAAATTAAAATAAATATATTCCAACCACGCATTGAAAAAATACAGTACCTGTAAGTAATAACACGACTCTTAAAAAGTCACAACTGACACTGACTCCCACTACTTGCCATGCATTGTTAATTGCGTTGCATAAATGATCTTATTTAATCTTCACAGCAAGTCTATTATGTTGATGCAATATTACATTTGGGAAAACTGAGGCTTAAAGGGGTTAGTAATCATTTGGAATAAGGCTCACAGTCAATAAGTCACAAAATGGAATTCACACTCAAATTTGTATAACAACAAAGCCCATGCTTTAGTTGCTCTGAGCCACATCACAGCACACAAACCTACAGGTCGCATCCTAACATTACATTTATGCGACATATTTGTAATTTGTTAGAGTATGTGTACGGTTTTGGCACCAGTTAATTAAAAGTGTTCTGTGTGTCAAATACTGGATCACCCCAGCCTGGAGTTCCCCTGATGATATCACAAAAGAGCCTCTGATGACCCCAGAGAAGAATCACACACTGGAAGTTTCCACAAATGCCAGCTCACTCCCTGGAATGGAGTGAACACAGATTGGCACTAACCAGACTAAACTAGTCCATGGCTTTTTTTCTTTCAGTAGCTGAATCCCCCCCCACCTCCCCGCATCAAATATTCTCATGGCAATGACTTAACAAAATCAAAATATTGACTATATTTTTTTTTTCTTTAAGAGATGAAGATCCCCAGAGCTCCTTACCCTCAGGCTGCAGTGGAGACCCATGCTAGACGGGAGGTGTTGTGGGTGCCATTGGCACATCACCTTGCGCCTTGCTCGTCTTTAGTCAATGCAACTCTGCTGTCACTTTTTAAAAACAGTGTGTTGCATTTTATGCTTTTATCCAGTAACTCAAACCGGAGAGCATTCTGTGGTGTTGTTTTAATTGGGCACAAAATTAAATACACTATCAAGGAAAAGCGAAACTGAAAGAAGCAAGTCAAGATCGCAGTCCTGAGTTTTCTACTGGGGTCACAATTGCTAATAAAAGATGCAAAGTGCCCAGTGCAATCCGTTCCTGCTACCTTCTGACCAGAAGATCTATGAAATGGGAGCCTAGGGGAGGTGGTAGGGGAGCTGGAAAGCACTTCCAACTGTGATGAGAATGATTCTGCATCCTCGAGCAGGCACTCACTCATCAGGTCTCTTTTACATTGCACATTGTATAGTCTCCTGAGGAAAGTCTCTTAAAGAAAGGAGAAGAAAAAAGAAGCCTACTAATGGAACAAGACCTACATAACAATCCAGTTCTATCATATTTTCTCACTCTTATTAAGAGGATGGCTCTTGAGTAAAGATTTTGAGTAAAGTTTTGAATAAAGATTAATTACTTGATTGTGGTTAATATATAGTTGATCAAATTAATTTATAAATGAGAGACTGGCTATTTTTATTACACTCTTCACATCCCAGGTGACTTTAACCAGTACATTTCATGGAAATGAATATTTAAAAAAAGCAAACACACCTCCGCATGGTTTTTGTCTTTCAAGCATTGAACAATTCTTTGAATTAAATGATTAATATTAGTAAATTTACATAGTTTTTCCGAGGGACCTTGCTGGCCTATTTTTGACGATGTGATCTTGCCTCCCTCCCGGCTTTCCACGATGAGTTCTTGGTAACATTATCCTCTCTAACGAACTTGACTGAAACAATTTAGTCTTTAAAAAACAAGTTGTATGTTTTTAAGCTTGACTGGTTTGCTATGTCATCCTATTTGGAGTTTGGAAAACCAGACTCGGGGTGACTATGTCTCAGTTACATCTATAGCTTAGTTCTTCACTCCTACTGACACAAGCGATCAATCTCAATCCTCCCACTCAGGTTACCTGGTGTTTTCCAAAACTAAAGCAATCAGCCCCCACATCTTTGTCTTCTTTTGTGTGGCAGATGACATCTTCCATTGACAGTGGATAATCAATTTACACCCATCCCACATGTGGAGCCTGAATACAGAAGCATCCCACACACAGTGCAATTCACAGTGGCATTCCCTTCTTTTTGCCCTCCTGCTTCGGAAATGCAGAATAACCATCATAAATGAGCATTTCTCTTTTGGAGGGTGCTGAGAGGAAAGAAAAGAACAAGAGGAGGGCACCTCAACCTAGACAACGGGTCACAAAAGCCCCAGAGCAAACCACAGTTCTTAGCAGACATCATGGTAAGGTTCCCAAGGCAGAGCACCGAGGAGGAGTTTAATTCTCCAATGAGCCACATCACACATTCCAGTGGCTCCTGGTTAACCCAGCCACGTTATCGACACCCAAAATTCAGATTTAACACAATGCCCCCAATGCACTTCTATTTTCTAGTTCTGCCAGCCTCATCTTTGCAATGCATCAATTTTCTCTCTCTTTAAAAAAAAAATATTTAAGTTTAAATTCTGGTCCATCCATCAGTTGTCCCCCTTGATTAAGGATCACACCCAGTAAGGCATTTTCTGTGGAGACACCCATGGCAGTGCCTTTCTCAGGGACACTGAAATGGAAGCAGAAACGGTTGCATGGATAACTTACCAGCTCCTGAGTCTGAGTGGCTGCAGCAGCCCCCGTGCTTTACCTGGTCCCCTGCTCTCTCTGTGCCTCTCCCTCTCTCTCCCTCTTTTTCTCGTGTGCAGATTGCAGGGAACGTAAAGAACTCGCAGGGACAGTGTTTCAAATGACTTAAGAAAGAGAACAGGAACAATACTTCGTTCTCTTTTTCTCAGATGAGTACCTTCGGGAAGAAGGAAGGAAGGGAGGGGAGAGGGAGGAAGTCAACAACCCTTTGCTTTCCTGAAAAAAAATAAGGAAACAGAAGATAGACATCTCATTTTCTCTTAAACAAAATGTTGGAAGGGGCAAAAAAAAGAAAGAAAAAAAAAATCCTTTGAAAAAAAAAGGAATTCCTCAAAAATGCTCTGGACCCTGGGAGCTTGAAAGAGATGAAAAGCCTCCCAGGCCCGGCCTGTCCAAACAAAGGGGGTTCCAGAAGGAGGCTCTCCTGAGCTTGCCGGCTCTGGTATCTCGTTTGCAGAACTGACACAGCCAAAGGGGAACAAATCATTCTCCTCCACTTGGAGCAAAGGAAAGCTGTGTCTGCTGTGCTAACTGAGGCAGACCTGCAGCCTGGGAGAGTGGGGCGGCCCTGCCCAGGCCCTTGCAAACACCAGCGCTGCTGCAAACCACAGCCTGACTCCAGAACCCGCTGTGTTCTCCTAGGACCAACCCAGGAGCACAGTCTGCATTGCTTACTGAGCCTCATGCCCTGGACCACGCCAGGCTTCCATCTTTGCTGACAGTTAACAAAACATTTAAAAAGCAACTTACCACACTGGTGCTGGACGTAGTCTTCTCAGAAGTGTTGTTTCTTTTGTCCTAGCCTTTATATTCTTAATGCTTCTTGGATTCACAACCTACTCGGAAGCAGCATAGGCCTTAGCCCCAGCAGCCTCAAGGGTGGGGAGGCTGGACAGAAGGAGAGAGAAAATGGAGGGAACATCCTTTACCAAGTTAGGGGCACTTGGAAGTTCAGGGGGCAGGCATGAGCTCCTAATAGGGTTAAGAGCATAGGAATAAGCTTGGCTTAAAATTTTCTGACTTGTGCTGTGTATCTTGTGTCCTTCATTCATGTGCTTAAGACCATTTTCACCGCCAACAGGAACCAGCAGTTATGTGCACCTCTGTGGCAGCCAAAGAAAAACCAGCTTTAAGGTAGTTCCCTATTTCACTCAATTGTGAAAAAAGGGGGGTGGAGAGTTACACCTGATCACAAAATGCAGTTACAGTAATAGCGGGGAAAGAGAGACCCTGATTCCGTCTCTCTGTAGGACTTGTATTGGGTCCCATGGATTTATATGATTATTCTTTCATCACAACAGTTTACTTCCCCCATTAATTAGGTTCATATATTTCCTATCTATCTATCTATCTATCTATCTATCTATCTATCTATCTACCTATCTATGCTTTGATTTAGTTTATGTATCAGAAAGATGTTGTGATTCAGTAGGTTTGTAAAAGCCAGGACAGAGTCTTATTCTTTGCATTCCCCATGGCACATGGCTTTCTGGCATGGGTAACCCAATCCCACCTGCCGATGAGAAAGCTGGCACCCGGAGAAGAATCTGTATGGTTTGCCCAAGGTCGCACATCAGGGACAAAAACCAAAATGCTCCTCTGTCGCCGGGTGCAGCTCGGCGCTCTTTGCCCTCTGCTGGCCTTTCTCTGTATCCTGCCTTTGTAGACATGGAAGTAAAAATGAAAATGAAAACCCAAGAAAGCAAGAGAAGAGCATGAGAGACTGGAGTGAACTGGGGAAGGGACAGCAAGGAGGACTTTTCAAAGGAGTAGCGATATTGGGGCAACCTTGGAGGAATGGTGAGGGTAGAGAAGCAAATCCAGGTAAAGGCTGAAATGTAACCTAAAACGTGGAAGTTGGTGGAGGGAGGGGGAAGGAGAGAGAAGCAGGGAGAGGCTGCTCTGGGTGCTGTGGCAGCGCCACAGCAACAACAAGGGACAGAGATGCTCAGGCTGCAGAATCCTTGCAGGACAGAAACGTCTCTGGTCCCTGAAGAATCAGTGACGGCGGCACTCAGCCCCTTCCATGTTTTTGTTCTTCCTGCTGCCTCGGGGCTGGCCAGGCTGAGCCTCAGGAGCCAGGCAGAGTGCAGAGGATTTCCCTTTTAAGTCTGCAGAATGCGGGGCTGTCACCATGAGGCCTGTTGTTTCCTCCCAGCCAGCTGAGCGCCCAGAGGAGGCCTGTACGGGGCCCTGTGCCCTCTGGGCTGCCCAGCTTCAATATCACGGAGTGGCGTCCTGTTGAGGCCTGGGGACATCACCTCTGGACACACTGGAAGGCGATGTCTCATGTTTTCAAAATACCATTGTGAAGCAGCTCTGGTCTGTGACAGTCAGCCACAGCTTTTCCAAAGGGAGCCTCTGCCCTGCCTGTGCCACGCTGTTCCCTTCAGACAGCCTGTCAACCGGTTTCTCCCCGCTTTTTGCTCTGCCATCACATGAACAGTCAGCCCCTGATGCTTGTCAGCTCACCCACTGGGTGTCCAGAAGCCAAAATTCCTCGTTGGGGTTCACAGGAGAGATTTCCATCGGGCTACTCCAGCTGGGCGCTTCCTCTGTGCTCCCTCATGGGGATGGATGCAGACCATGAAGGAAGCCATGTGTAGAAACAGATTATGGCCACACCGCTGACCCAGCAGGAAAGCCACACATGGCATTGGGCATTAGAGATTATTTGAGTAGAGAAAGGGAGCTGCAAGACCTGGGTCTGGATCCAGGACAAGGAGAAACACCCAGGTTTAAAATTCCGTGCAACCAAAGCAATGACCGGACTCCGAACCACAGAAACACAAGCTCTATTCAACATGGCTCCCCGCTTCCGAAGCATTCTAACTGGTACTGGTCCTGCTTCCGACTAACCAGAACTCCAGAGCTATCTGTCCACGCACGACTAACTTGGCCCCGACTATGGCAGGTGGTGGAGTGAGGGTGGATTGAGATAGAACATACCTTCTGAACAGTGTACATGTCAGTGACACAAAATGAACATGTCTCTGTAACAGAAATGAAACAGACTATCCCCTGTGGCCCCCTAGCCACTACCTCTCCTCAGGGTCACAGGGTCCTAACTCCCACACCTGACCTAGATGTGGATCACCTCGTATTGAATTCACATAACAAATGATATCTGACGTACTTTGTGTTCTGGGTCTCTGCCTCAGCATTCTATTTGTGAGATTCGCCCCTTGTGTTGAGTGTGGTGGGAGTGCATTCCCTCTCGTGGCTGGAGAACACTTCATTTGGTGGCTATATCCCAGTTTATGCATCTGCTCTGCTGAACATGGGCATCTGGGGTGTTTCTCGTTCAAGGCCATTTCTAAATGGGCTGCCGGGAATACTCCTGTTCCTGCCAGACGTCTTTTTTAAGTCTCATGCAGGGCTCACCTCTCTCCAGGAAGATGCCCACTCCAGTGATTCACAGCCTTTTGTTTGATTTCCTTTGGCACATACTTCCTCTCACATCGATGTGTGGATTTCTTTTTTCTTTATTCAAATGGCTTTGGTTTGAGGACATGGTGATGCTGGCAGAGATCCTGTGGAGCTTTGGAAGGTGTCGGGAGCCTCTGCTCTCACCTCCGGCTGCAACCTGGAGAGGCTGCTCCTCCATCAGCTCTCCGTCTCCCTCCAGATTTCCCCTCCCCTCTGGGCTTCTCACGGACAGGCTATGTTTCATTACGTTAATGTGCAGAAAAGGTGGCCAAGTCTCAGGCCCGAAACTGCTTTGACATTTCCTTTGTTTCTTTGATTTATTCTTTTCACCTTGCCAAACCCTGATATGCTCCAGGTCCCAACCCTCAAAACGTGAGAACATTCATTTCTTTCTTCCTTTTTAACTTTTTTGTTTGTTTGTTTAGCATGAAAAGATGATATGAAGAATTTATGTAGACAAATGTTTTAAAGAAAATCTGTTTTATGCATCTAGTTTCTCCATTTGGCAAGTGGGGGGTAATAACGTAACGCCTATTTTTCACAATATTAGGAGTAAAGAATAAGAAGAATGGCTAACATGTCACATACCATGGGACAGGCATTGCACTAAACACTCTACATGTCAGAACTTATTTAATCATCACAACGGCCCTACAAAGCAGCTGCAATTATTGTCCTTTTCCTCCCCCACCTGCTTTTTTTTATTTATTTTTTTTATTGATTTTTTACAGAGAGGAAGGGAGAGAGATAGAGAGCTAGAAACGTCGATGAGAGAGAAACATCGACCAGCTGCCTCTTGCACACCCCCTACCGGGGATGTGCCCACAACCAACATACATGCCCTTGACCGGAATCAAACCTGGGACCTTTCAGTCTGCAGACTGACGCTCTACCGCTGAGCCAAACCGGTTTCGGCCCCCACCCGCTTTTATAGCTGAGGAAACCGAGCATAGAGAAGTTATAATGCTTCCCCAATATCACACAATTTAGTAAAATTTCAAACCCACTGTATTCTAGCTTGGAGCCCTAATTTTAAACAGTAAAGCTAATTTGCCCTGCCCTCTAAGCAAACACTGCCTGTCACACAATAAAAACTCAGTAAACTGCCCTTCAAATTATAGAAAACAACATCTTTTATAAAACAAAAGAGAAATCGCACGTGTCTAATGGACCAGAAAGCCCTATGCTAGGTGTGGTTAATATGCCTCTGGATTTCATTACCATGTAGTGGAGAGACACACTAAACAAATCACACCTGACTATCTAAGCAATGTGGTCAGTGCTCTGAAGAGGAAATCTGGGAGTTGAGAAAGCTTATAGTCAGGTACAAAATCTGGACAAATGATCAGAAAATATCTTTCTAAGTAAAGGACATGCAAATTGGAGCCTGAGGAATAAGTAGGCATGCTCTAGGCAATGAAGGGGAGGCAGCAGTTGACACAAGGGGCAGCCGGGTGAGTCCAAGTTCAGAGTCTGAACTTGATCTTAAGATGAATGAGAAATCATTAAATATTTTACACATAAATAGGATATGATCAGATATGTATTTCAAACAGCCGATTTTGATCATTATGTAAAAAATGGATTGTGGGCCGAAGCCGGTTTGGCTCAGTGGAAGAGCGTCGGTCTGTGGACTGAAAGGTCCCAGGTTCGATTCCGGTCAAGGACATGTACATTGGTTATGGGAACATCCCCGGTAGGGGGTGTGCAAGAGGCAGCTGGCCGATGTTTCTCTCTCATCGACGTTTCTAGCTCTATATCTCTCTCTTTCTCTCTGTTAAAAATCAATAAAATATATTTTTTAAATGGATTGTGGAAGGCAAGAG